CTCACACGCCCTGATGCATGCAAGGGCCTCTTTCTCGCCGGTAGAATAATTTCTTTCAGTATCAGACAAGGTATGCGATGAGAACGTAATCACTCTCTCCTCGCCATCCTGCAGCTGGGACAGAACTGCGCCCAAGCCAATATCTGAAGCATCCGTTGAAACAAACGTTGGACAGTGCTCATTAAAGATCGCTACCATGGGAGTGCATCCAATCGTTGCTCGTATGGTCATGTAAGCATTGTGTTGTTCAGTGACCCAACGAAACTCCTAGTTTTGGCGCATCAACCTCCGAAATGGCTCGGCAATTGTCTCGGAATGCGGTAAATGTCGAAGGTAATAAGAATACAAATCCAAAAAATGTTTCCTCTGTGTAACATTGCATAGTTTTGGATAATCGACAATGGCTCTGGTGTTCCGCACATTAGGCTTAATACCCGAGGTAGAAATAGCATGCTCAATAAACTCGACCTCCTTTACAGCGAATTGGTATTTGCTGATATTCAGATGGAGATTTAGTTCATTCAGTCTATGCAGGACGTCATGAAGGTTTTCCTGATGTTTGGCAGGGTTACTACCAAAGACACGAACATCATCCATATATACAGCACATCCTTCGGGATCTGATAGCGATAGAGGAGTAAATTTCTGCCAAGCTGCTGGGTCACTACAAAGCCAATTGGTAGCACTTTGTATTGATGCAAACCATCGAGTGTAAGGAAAACAGTCAACTGTCGGCAATCTGGAGTCAATTGCATGTGGTAGTATGCACTGCGAATACCAACTTCTGAGAAAACTTTGGTGTTTGAAACCCTAACCATCAACTCGTCGACAGATGACAGAGGGAACCTGTCCACAATTACGGTTAGTCGGATGGAAGAAGGCCGATCAGCGTTCATTTACCTACCCTGGCTCCCTTATGGTGAACGCTGGTCATGTACGGTTGTTGTCCCCAACCTCCAATAGCCATCCAATGTTTGGCGAGATTCGTAATATGCTGCTGCGCATGCAGAGTCATGAATTTCTCTCTCACCTTAGTGGTGCGGAAGTATGGAATTCTTGGCAGACGAGTGATTTAGTGCAGGTCTCAGCTGAGAAAAAGCCTAACCTCTAATGACATACCGACATGAAGCTGTTGATCTTCGGGCGAGATGACTACAGACAGCCACAACGTGTTTCCAGCGTTCGCTAGCTCTCAGCTAACTTCGCGCTGAGTGCAGATGGTCATGGCCAACCGTAGGCATTGGAGCGATCGATGGTTATCTCTGTGTGTCAAGCTGGCTACGCGGCAAAGTCGGCTTAGGCAACCGAAAACGCAACGTGCATGTGCGCACGTGATGGCAGCTCAGCTAAAGACGAGGTTAGACATTGCAACTCTTGTCAGTGTGATTATCACAGGTAATGGAGCACGAGCAGACAATGCAGTCGGGATCAAGTAACGCTCCAGTTACTCAGCGTGCGCTGATTATTCATCAGTACGGTGAATGCGGTTTAAACGCCGCATCAGCTTCAATAAAATACAATGCAATGAACGCAGGAATGCGTCCCCTCACCGCCCGGTGCCTGCTTAAACTATTGAAGAATTTCGAGCAAACTGGGAGTGTGTGTGCCATGAAAAGAACCGGGCCACCTCACATCACCACTAACAAGTGTTCAGCTTGCACTGTAGTCAGTGAAGTGTCAAAAAGTCCTGATCTCAGCGTTCGTCGGATCGCACAGCACGGTGACACAACCCGATATGCGGTATACTGGATATTACTGGAACGAAAATTTCGGAGATCCCGTGCACTTCAATTGCAGGTTTTGAACTCATGCGATCCGGAGAAGCGGCATGAATTTTGCCGCTGGTTTCTAGATCACGGGGTTATTTGTTCTGTTATATTTACAGATGAGGCATTGCTTCATCTGCATGGAACAATGAAACATTACTGTTGGCCTACCAGCAACCCACGAAAATTTACCGCAACACGTATGCACCACAGTGCGAAACTGATAGTTTAAGCCGGATTAACAAGCCAGAAAATTCTGGGCCCATTTTTCTTTTCCGGGAATGTGACCGGTAGGTTGTTGTTTTGAAGCACTAGAGCCTTATCGTTTCCTAGCATCATCGTATTTGAAATGCTGCAGACATTTGTGCTTCCCCAGTTGGAGACTGAAGGGGCATGCAGTACCATTTGGTGGCAGCAGGATGATACATTCGCACATTCTACTAAAACGGTGCGTGCTTATATCACCGACACATTTGGCAACCATTGGATCGGACGCGGTGGACCAATGGAGTGGCCTGCTCACTCACCAGATTTGAAACCCATGGGGTTTTTTCTATGGGGCTATCTGAAGCGGCGAGTGTACAAAACAAGGCCGCGTACATTGGCCAGTTGAAAAAATATTGTGAGCGAATGTCGCGCGATCCCGAGGGATACATTGGAGAAAGTGCTCGCCAAATGCATCAAGCGGTTTCTACACTGCAAGCCGAATGCCGGCGGACATTTTGAACATAACCTTTACAAGCATAGATAATCGTTCCAATACATTTCTCTTGATATAACTATCCTCTTTCACAAATGTGTTAACGACTAAACTGGTCCACTGGCAAATGGTGCTAATGATGCGTCTGGTCGGATAGAATTCTTAACGTCCAGGCTGTCGTTGAGCACATAAACAGGGTAGGCACCGAAATGTTCCATGGCTACTTATGGCGGAATCACTAAGTCGCTATGAGCTGAGGTTTGTGCAGCCTTAATGAAAAGCCGACTGTGGTGTTGACTCCGTTTCAGGCTATTGCCTGTGAACTTGGTGTTCGGGATGAGTTGAAGTAGGTGGCAAAATGTGTACGTGGGGTCGTTTCGTATCTGGTAGGCTAATACGTGGTCTCCACGTAGCCACTTGTAGCGTCTACTGAACACTCTGAGTGTTTTTAGTCGCTGCTCGACCATGGTGAGTCGCAAGCGCTGCAAGGTCACGGTTTAGCCAAGCGTGCCAAGCCTGTATTACGTATTCGACTTGTTAACGCACGTAGGCATGGAGCATCATAGAGAAGATGAATGAATCCAAACTTTTGAATACCATCCGCAAGATAACAACGTGCTGGTTACCACTTTTGTATTCCGACTGTCTGGAATAACCGAAGTCGCCCTGCACCAGCACACCGAGGTGAAGTTCCTAAGGGCTTGTCTGCAGGTCATATGCCTCAATATTCTAGAGATAGGCGTGTCTATGGCGAATGTAGATAATCTGTCACTTGACCACATTTAATGGCAGGGAATTCCTCACCAGTCAATGCCAGGTCCCACCTAAGTCGCATATGGAGAATCTTGTGGTCGTCCATTCCTTTGAAAACCCAAATGCACCATCCTGCGGGTCATGTTAAGCCCAGGCCGTTTTTCCGCAGTAAACCACTGACCATTGACCACACACCTACCCCTGATCACACGAGACCGACTGGCTGTAAACTAAATTACCTCCAACGGAATGGTGCAAGTGCGCTAGTTGTTTTGGTGTGTGCGTTCTTGTAGGGTAAGAAGAAAAGCATAGGAGCTGACGGCCAAACATTTCATTTGAAGGAATTTGCAAGGCTGCAAGCAACCATCTGTTATTTGTCTTATATCCATCCCGTATTGGTGGATATGTCATTCCGCCCGGGAGCTTTTCTGTCTATCTCGTTCAGATTTGACTAATGTGATTTGTATGGGGTCCATCTGGTTGGAGTGTGATTATCTGCCACCACACATACAGCTATGTGTGAGGAACCGTAACCAATGTGCGATTTAATTGACTGTAGTAGAAGTTGGGTTGAGCACATTACAGACTTTCCACTGTGCTATTGACACAATAAGATTAAACGGTAGCTTGCACTGTGCCTCTAAATGGGTCAGTCTAGTCGAAGTATCCTGCCGCATTCAAAATTCATTTTGGAATGCCAATTCAGCTATGCACACTGGTCATCCCTGCCTCACCTGTTCCTCGACTCAAACGGACATAACATCTGCTCTCTCAAGCCTTCTGTGCGACCGTTTTGGCTCCATTCACAGCGGGCTCAATCAGACCAAGCAGCCTGACTCCATGACCTCGTGAGTTCACTGACGCGTTTGTGTGCGTATTGAATGCGAGAATGTGCTGACTTCGCCTTACCTTCACATGCCAGGCTTTAGCATTTGGACCAGTTCGTAAACAAGTACCAGCTTCCATCCCCCTTATTGTGTAATATTAATGTGCGCAGACACATTGCGTGCCTAGACGAGCGAATGGCTGAGGTCCGTGCGGCAAGGCCACAACCGCCGACCGTTCGAGTTTGGCCAAGCATGTGTCTACTACATTGCCTAGGCCTAGCTTAGGTGTTATCAATTTCTGCTACCCACCTTCCCCAAAGCACGATTGCTCTGTGCACCAGGTGGGTCAAGGTTAACAGCCAAGCTGGCATCTTGTCCGAATGCTATTGGCTGCTAGCGGTTGACTACTCAATGGGTCCTGTATTCGATTTCGGTGATTATCGGATTACATTTTTGTGCTAAGGAGGAAAGCTGCTAACTTACGGATGTAAGTGATTCCTTGGGGTTGCAGTCAGTTGTGAAATGATATGGCAGCCGCTTAGTCGCTAAGCTTCTACGTTCACTTCGACTGAGGCCATACCCTTACTGCAGCTCACGTGTGTGACGCTTTAATCCTCTAGCCTTGTTTTGGATCATTTCAAGTAGTCACACTTCAGCGGTCCTGATGAATATCGACCGCACTACTCATGTCTTTGCACCCGCTGTAATGCATCATAAGTATGGGTGGTACGAGGTTTACAGTTCGAAGTGTTTTGCCACCTATACTCCCATCAGCTGGTTGCTTGATCCTTTAGTTGCAATTAGCTGTCATGGTGGACGCTTTGGGCCATGAAGCATCAGCCGTTTATGTAACACAACTGCTTTTTAAGTGCGAGTACCGATTTACGACATTTTGTTGTCATCTTTCAATCTCTAAAATCCGCCCACCTCACAGCTGTGTGATCATACCTTACATGCAGCAGTATGGATATATTATGTGAAAACGAATGCTAAACGTCTTTTTATTGCATCAAAATAAGTTTAAAATTGGAATGGATTGCAGCCTCGACACATTGATTGGGAGATAATTACGAAACTCGAAAGTGCATGTCAGGTATGAAGTTGACACGACGGGCTAAAATCTGCAAAGTTCGAAATAGTCAATTATTTTTGGACTCGTCTCTCAGAAGATTCATTGCAAATGGTTAGTTAGGCTTCACCGATCAGTTTCATCAAAAGCTTGCGGAAATCGCCAGATGTATCCGACTTTATGGCGTCCCCCAAAGATTTTCCGAAATATTCGTGGTACATCTGCTTGATGGCTGACATATCATTCTGTTATTAAAAGAAAACAAAGACCGATTATCTTAAGGAAATTGAACGAGATTACGAAAGAGACTAATAGAAACTGAATAGCTAAGCCCGGCTGTGGGATTTTTGGGCTATAACTATCATATGTAGCCACCGCAACTGCATAGAGGTTCACGCATCAACCGTTATAGTGTCTGGAGCGAACATCGTACTGTGATGGAATCCGATTACTCAATTACGGCTACAGTTTGCGTTTTGGGCAGCTGCGGTAACAACGTCAGCCTCTGAACCGTTTTAGCTAAGTATTTCTGTTAGCATTTTGGGATTCGGAGCAAGTTCAAAATAGGTCATAGTCCTCCGTAGTCAGAGATCCAGTAAAAATCCCGGGATGCGTTGGTAGTACGAATTCCAACTTGAGACAGCTGTGAATCGCAGTGGGCTGAATAACCTTACACTTAGCTAAGATAGATGCTGACACACTCACCCAAACGAGTAACCCACGCTCCTCACTCTTAGGAATGTGGTCCTATCAAAGGCTGATATTGGTACATAGTTTTCAGTGTTTTGAAACCCATAAAATAAATAATAACCGGTCCAACAAGTTGATCCTAACCTCTAAGATAGAGGACATTTTAAAATGTCTTTTCATAAAATGGGTATGCCCAAAAGACCGGAGCTAGGTGCGTCGTACTGAGAGCAATGTGGGGAACTACACAGCGAATATAAACAGAAGAGCTCAGTTAACATAAGCATAATCCGACATAAAGGAAAATGATTCTACAAATCCGCAGCTGATTACATCCACATGATTGATCAAATCGAGTGATGAGTGACTAGTGCGATACAAGCTCTGTTTCTGTTTGACATTTCATTTAAGTACGCGTCATTGCTCATAACAATGAGGCACGCAACAAACTACCACATCCACATAACTGTGCACACAATGGAGCCAACACAAGCGAAACATGCTCACCAATCGACTAACAAATATGCCATGACGTCACGGTGGTAGCGCTTTATAGGCGGAAATGCTGGTACGGTGTTCTCGACTAAGAAAGCTGAAAACAAGTCAACCGCAGATCTATAGCTGCAAGACTACAAAAGTAGCCCGGTTTACACAGAAAGCGCTTAGGTGATAAGTAAATGATAGCTCCCTCTTGATGTGTTGTTGCGTTGTGACCTGAGTCATCTATAGATGGGAAGTATTGTTACTTCGATTCGAGCAACCATCTATTTGTTTCATGTATATAATATTGTCACAGGACGCAAAGATTCATACAAATGTGGGTGAAGGAAAAATAGTTTAGATATTTGCTAAGCCAGTATATTGCTTTCTCGTGGACAACATGAGGCATAGCTGATGGTGGACAACAGACAGCGAGCTCGTGCAATGAGGATGCTTAACTATTTGACAAGCTGGAGCTAAAGTTTCACAGGTCGATTACTGTCCATTCATTTCACTGAGATCTCAGACAACTGAGTGGGGGTGGCACATTACTTATGTATGCTTATGTATGTATCACTTGATAAGTATTTTGCGCGCCAAGCAACGCACCGCTTTTTAGACTGACAGAGCTAAATTAGCAGGGCTAAGGAAGTAATCTATGCAAGATCGATGCAGGACTTGCAAACTGAAAACAGGCATTTAGGTGGTTCAGCTTCATGATAGGACATGGGTGTTTAGTATCGAAACAAGGGGCGTTTCGCCGTCTAACATCTGGTGGTTAAACCTGTGTGCATAAACACCAAATAACATAAAATTCCTTATCAATTTTCACCATGCAAACCAGGTCTACTCATTCACATTTCAACTGGAAACAAAAGCCAAAGAGCACTCCGCTGAGGCACATTAAGTGTATACAAGCTTATGCTGCAAAAGCTCTTTTGGTACAGAATGCCAGAGTCATGGTGCCACTTTGCAAAGTTGCGGGTCTCTCGGACATTTGAACAAAGGCTGCTGCTTTCTCCAACGCTACGCCTCATCTTTGGTTTCCCTGTGGCTGAACGTGACTAAATCCCCACTTGTCTGTAAGCCTTTCACCGAATGAGACCATTTGTGCTGCAAATTACGGGTTGGACCGTCTTAAAGACAGCCCTAACAATGTGTTCTCATACTGAAATGCATAGTGTAAGCGCTGTACACCTCACTTCTGTTTTACATGAATCATTAATTAATGGTTATTTAGCCTGCACGAGAGAAATTCGTACGCGCTATTATTAAACCGTCAAGTTGTGAACCACACATATAGTTAGTTGACTTCAAAGTGAATACGTTCCGTTATGCGTGTGCAACCCCTGATGTCACAGTTCAAAGCCTCTTTTCTTGTTCCACAGTGAGTGTCCACAGCACCAAATAGCAAAAGTGTGCAGCATCCTACATGTCGTAACTGGTTAGCCTAGTCTGCGCCTAGGCTGCACTCCTCTTCTTTTACAAGAACAAGTGTTATCACTGTAGATATCGTAGTTAAATGACAAAAATGCAATCATTTTAACGGACTCACCGGCCCAGGTCCATGGCATTTACAAACCTACAGCAAACCCACAAACTAACCTAGACGAAGAATCAGTGTCTATTGATATCACGAAGAGCAGCAAGCTAAAATGTTATGTTTTCAGGAACAAAAGCTAGTTGCATCAGTACTAGAACAAGCGATATGATGGGTCACGGCATTTCACCGTTTACACGTAGAGGAACGCCATATCGGTTCGACAGAAGCATAACAAGATTCCACTGTGCTCAAATGGATTTCACACCACTGCTAATAGAGGTATGTGGGCTATGCAAAGCTGATCAGTTGCTTCCTGATTCTAATATGGTCATTTAAGTGTATTAACCAAGACCAATAAAAACGTTTATTTTTACTCCTTGCAGTAGGGGTTTAAATGAGCTAAATGAAACACTGTGCAAAACCAAAGCCAACATAGACTTACAGATGACAAAGAAAGATGCCTGATTGTTTACTAAACTGTCGTCTATCCGATTGATCAGTCTTTTCCCCGGCAGGTTATTGCACATTAGGATAGGGGGTGGGGAATGGGATACACCGCGCAACGATCATTCGATCCACGGAGTCGGTTAGCAGAATCCATCTCGATTTGCGGGCTTTAACCCGTTTCTCAGCCTTCAGTTTTTTCAGATAAGATCATGATTACTGAGGACCGTCACATATAAACCGGTCAAACCGGATGCTTCATGGGTTCGTTTGTGTCCCTAATATTATCACAATTGCACTTATGCCGTCCGCACCTTGGATATCGTTGCTGATCACACGAGCAGCTTCGTCCGTTCTGTTTCGCAGTACCTTCACCGCTGAGTTACAGAGTTATTCTTACAAATGAATTGTCCGTTTGTTCATGTTGCACATTCGGTCACTGAGTTCTACGCGGTGGCTTTGCGCTTTTCACCGCAAGCAAACTCCTTGGCAAGCGAGTAACATTTCTGTTAGCTACACAGGGGTTATTGTAGGCATCTGTGAGTTGTAAGTGAGATAGGTACCAATGCAAGAGTCGCCGATCGGTAACTGCAAGAGGACTGTGTACTCGCGTTCTACGAGTATCGGGTATCTGCGGGCACAAGTATGAAATAGATGTAGGAGGTTCATGCAGCAGATTTAAGATAAAATAGAAGACGATTATTGAATAAGTTGTTAGCCCAGTGTTCTGATGGTGAACATACTGCTACTGTCTTTTTTCCCGACCAAATGACCCTGTGGGAGCAGAGATGGTCTAGTTTGAGGTTTACAATCTCTAAGCTGAACCAAAACCACTTGAGTGGTTTAAGCCTGTCATTCAAATTGGTAATTAAGCGGAATCATTTGACACGTAGAAATATTTCCAATGCACTCAAGAGTATCCCTTAGTACAATTATCTTCAACTTGTTTCCATTGTAGGACTAGCATCTTTTTCAATCGTTCTATCAACCCAAACATTGACTGCTGATGTAACCGTGGCTTTGCCAAAAGCCCGTTATAATCGGCCAGTCGCTTAGGTGAAGTTGTAATAGACATTTGAGTGAATTTGCTTTGCATACGTTAAATATTTCCACGCTGTTTGTGTGTTATATTTTAATCCCATATTGAGTTTGAACACTTACTTATTCTCAGTCCATAGCTCATGGAGATCACCTTTTCCTGAGCATCCATACTTATTCGCCTGAGCTGGTGATAAAGGCTAAGGTCAAAGACATCGCTTGACCAGATGAATCCTTGCTAAGCGACCGTCCTTGTAAGTGATGAGGATCACTACAAGACCGAGTGGCCGGCAACAGAGAAACACGTGCGAATTTTGCGGTACCTTTTCTCATATGGTTGCATTCACAGCGGAATCCAATTCCTCCTTAACGAAATAACCTTCCTCCATACATGACTCGAAATAGCTCCAAAATGGCAAATTCCCAATCAGCGAACAGCACATCCGAAGAGCAAATGGCTATTGAGCCCAGAACCACCCTTGGCATCGTGGGTTGCGACACAGATCTAACGAACTTTGGTATACAGCCCCGTTCCACGGTCAAAGTCAGCTGCCTACGATTAATCAACCTCCACCCAAGCTATGAATCATTCTCGTCAAACTCGTGTTCTCACGTGCCTAGGTGTACTCGATGTGTGGTCGTTGGGATCTAGGCCCTTACCCACCTATGCTAGATGTGTCATGTGCGCAGTGTTCTCGAGCATTATCACTGATGCAATTATTGACTAGCTGTAAAGCTAACGCCAGGAGCCCACCTGCCTGAGTTCCAGTGATTGAGACTCCACCCGGAGCCATTGGCTCAATTGTTTGACCCACAAAGCAGTGGGTAACATGGAGGTTTACTGGACTGTTTCCACCCGGAGCCTTTGACTTAATAGCCTGACGCACAAGGCAGTGAGGAGCAGATCCAGCTCGGGAGTATGACTGCAGATAGCAATTGGGATCGGCTAGAGGTCCGTCACACACAACCTTTGAAGCTTTGGAATTATACCTATATATTTTTCGACCGTAGTAAGATACGCACCTGCGACCACGTCCAGATGCAAGAGGCTTT